TTTAGAGAGAGAGAGAGAAAGTATTCTTAAAATTGTAACGAGAGAAAGTATTCGTAAACTTTTAGAAATAAACTATTATAAATTTTAGGAAGAGAAACGGCCAAAAAAACAAATTTAGAGAGAGAAATATCTCATTTTTTTAGAGAGAAACTATCTCGAATTTTGAGTTTTAGAGAGAAAGTATCTCGAATTTTGAATTTTCGAAAGAGAAAATATATTAAAATTTCAGAAATATAAATTTTATCAAATTTTAGAGAGAGAAACTACTTAAAAAAATTTAAAGATATAAACTATCCGAAATTTTTTGGAGAGAGCAAGTATCGTAAAAAAATTTAGAGAGATAAAGTATATTAAAATTTTAGAGAGATAAACTATATCAAGATTTAAATATAGAAATTACATGAAATTTTTAGAAAGAAAAACTATCTTAAAAAAAATAGAGAGAGAAAGTAAATCAAATTTTAAACTTTAGAGAGAGAGAGTATATCAAAGTTTATAGAGACACTATATCGCATTTTAAAGAAAAATGAGAGAGATAAACTATCTCAAACTTAAAGTTTTAGATAGAAAAAGCATCTTAAAATTTAAGAGAGTAACTATATCAATTTTAGAGCGATAAAATACATAAAAAAATTTAGAAAAATAAACTATTGCAAAAATTTTAGAGAGAAATTATCTCAAATTTTAGTTTTTAGAAAGAGAAAGTATCTTAAAATTTGAGCAAAAAACTATATCATATTTTAGATAGAGAAACTATCTCAAAATTATTGAAGAGGGGAACTATCTCAAGTTTTAAGTTTTGGAGATTGAGTCTCTTAAATTTTTAGAAAGAGAAACTATATTAAATTTAGATAGAATAAAGCACCTAAAAATTTTAGAGAGAGAAATTGTCTCAAAACTTTTAGATAGACAATTTCAAATTTTAAATTTTGGATAGAAAGTATATTAAATTTTAGAGAGACAAACCATAACAAATTTTAGATAGAGAAACTATCTCAAATTTTTTATAGATACACTATCCCAAATTTTGAGTTTTAGAGAGAAAAAGTATATAAAAATTTTAGAGAGAAATTGTATCAAGTTTTGTTACCAAACAAACAATAGACATAGAAGTGATTGCAAGGAATCCTTAAATTTTGTATAGTTTATCCAAACGAAGAGATTTGCGGAATCCATGGCAAAAATCCTTAATATTGAAAATCCATAGATTTATTTAGATTTCAAATATCTAAGATTCCTAATTTCCTTCTATCCAAATGGACCCTAATGAAAAGTTTAGTACTGGATGTAGATACAACTAAGGTACACTTAAAAAACACACCAAAAAAAAAAAACTGCTCCGATACTAAAAAGCCTTCCAATTGCTCATCTCAAACTTCAGAGGTATGAATATAAAAAAAAAATTTGATTTCAGGTCCAAAACATAATGCATTATATAATATATTATGATGACCGTTATTTTCAAGATTTTCAGGTCTTCATTACTTTCAAAGCTTTAGATTTTTATGATTAGGGAAAAAACAAATTTTTAGGCTATCATAAGAAATTAAAGGGACAAAAAAAAAAAAACTTTGTAATCTACACCGCTGGAGTCGAGACTGTTTATTTTTGCAACCATTCTCACCGTAAGTCAAAAAGTAGTGTCTTTTAGGAAGAATATGCCCCTTTATAACAAATGTTTCTCTCACCCGCTCTCGATTTTTTTTTTTTTTGTCAGGTTGATGCTGGTTAGCACAACATGTGTCGGATCGACTTTATTTTTAAATTATATGCCGGATCAGCTTTATTTTTTAAAAGTGAAGTCAGTTTGACACCATGTGTGTTAGACCAATACATTATTTATAATAAAGTCGGTCTGGCACACATGGTATTTGACCAGTTTGATTTTTATCTTGAAAAAAAATGTGTTGAACCAAGAGTATTTTCCTCTTCAAAGCTTTTTAATCTCAAGGCATTATAAAAATAAGGGATTGTCAAGCGACCATTTATCTTTTGTACATGGAGGTCGATATCATTTCCACTAATTAGATGTCAAATTGGACAGCTTGGGGTGAGTCATGAAGCCCAAGAAATTTT